GAAGATCCAATTAAGGAAAAACATTCAAATAATTTGTCTCACCTGTGCCATCTCTCCACCACACCTGTAATGGATGTGTCTCCCTTATAAGACAGGTAAATTTGTGATCGTATTGTGGCACTTCTACCATGATTTCAGCATGGTAAGGCACAGTGAAGACCCGTTGAAACTATAAGAAAGCACAGAAAAGCTGTACTAACCACCCTGCGTTTATAAAGATAAAGTTCATACGAGTTCCACTGTGATCAAAGCATACCATCCCAGCACACAGGGGCTGTCCAGGCGGCCAGTTAATTTGACATCAGTTATAAAGACAGAAGTGGACTAACCAGCTGAAAAGGTTTCTTCTTGCTGGGCGAGACTTCTACGTGACAAAAGCTATGTTTTGAGTGCAGTCCATTCCAGCACTGCCTGCCTTCTGTGCCCCAGCTTGCTGAAATGCTTGACATTCTCTGCCCTGCAGAAGTGACCAGGGAGTGTTCTCTTCAGACGGATAGAACAGAGATTAGCCTTTTTTATCTCTAGTCGTGCTCACTCAACAGAGGCAGGAAAAGGAAAGCAAGGGAATTGTTCAAAACGAATTATAATATCTGTTTTTCTTTCTGTCTATCATTCAAACCTCAAAACACATCGGCATCGTGACCAGCCACTGTCCCCTAACTAACATGCAAGGCACGAATGCACATACACTCTCAGTAACGAACCTTTAGAAAAGCAATTGGAATCCTTAAATGAGCACATTTAGGTAGGAAAGAATAACTTAAATTTGGTAAATAATAGAGCACACAGGACAGCAGTGGTTACCAGTCCTGGGTTCAACTCTGGACCTGGGGTGTTGTCTGGGGGGAGTTTGCATGTTCTTCCTCCCACAGTCCATAGAAATGCTGGTGGGTTAATTACCGTCCGTGAAAACTGGTGTCTGTGTCTGCGTGTGCCCTGTGATGAACTGGCCTCTGGGATGTATCCGCCTTGTGCCCACTGCCTGCTGGGATAGGCTCCAGCCCCCCAGCAGCCCTGTACTGGATAAAGTAGTTAGAAAGTAGATGGATGGTTCTGCTTCATTTTGATTGGAGGGGAAAAAAAACAGAGAAATAGCTTGTTACCAAGGTTTGAAAATTCACTCTTCCTTTGAAAGAGGGTGAAATGATTGATTTTAGAAACAGGCATGGCTAAGCTTCTTACAAGGGCTTAATTCAGAGAACTGTTAAAAAAGAATATTCAGTCGCGTCTTAAAATTACGCTTTGCCTAGTATTTTTGTTCCCTTTTAAAGAAAGTTTCATTATTAGTGTCGAATTCTTTTTAAAAAATTTCATTTCCTGCAGCTGTCACATTTCGGGTGGTAGAAAACGCAGTGAACCGAAAGGAAATTGCTGAAACACGATTCCCAAAAGGCCAGAATCAGATGTTACCACATTTTTGTTTTAGCTTAAATTAGGATATGGGACAGATCTACCTAAAATGCTGTTACTTTTGCTCTTTCTTGAAAGTTCGTCATGGAGAAACCTCCTCTGAGTAGAAATATTCAACAGAACGGTATCTCCTGACACCCCCACCTATTCTACCGGCCTTTGTGAAATTCCTTCTTTTTGGGAGCAGAAGAGCCTAACCTGGCCTTTCTTCTCCTTTCTTTAAAAGCCTCCCAGGTCCCGCGCTTGAGTGCTCCTGGAAAACTGGGGGAAATCTGCTTCCTTTCTCTCTCTCCTCCTTTTTTCCTCTCCAACGCTTTCGCAAGGGAGATGTGCCGATCAGCTTTCGCCTGTTTACAAAACAGACACAATTCCCTCCTCTGCCGCCCCCTCCCCCGCCCACACCCACACACACACACACAGACCCTTCCTAAGGTCCCACTCGGGTTGTGAGCCTGCCTGTTTCAGACACACATGCGCGCACACACACACACACACAGCTCTTTGTTTGGGCTCATCTAACCAGAAAACGTCCCACATCTGTTGGCTGTGATGTATCTCTCCTGACTGTCAGGGCTCTTTACGCATTTGAGCTAGGAGAGAGCATTCCAGCAGACCCAGGCTCTCAGTTCCCCTAAGGTCAGAGCAGGAAGAAACTGCCGAGGAGACAAAGAAAGTGACCCATGAATTATTTCATACCAGCCCACGCTAAGAAACCCTCCTTGTGAGAGCAGAACGGCGCAACACTGCACAGCATCAGGCTGGTCCTGCAGTAAAGCTAAGATAGCTCTGTTACCTGACTAAGAAACTCTGTCAGGTTTCTTACGCGGTGTGATCTTCAACATGTTCCGCACGGCTTTTTTGTTTAGACTTCAATCCATCATGCCGATGAACCACTCCGGTTAAAGGTTAGCTTTCAAAGCAACTGCCGAATGAGAAAACCATACTGTGTGGGGGCATTCCACTTCCCACTGACCAGATTTGTTTGGATGTTTTTGCGAGGGGACATTAAGTTCAGCTCGAGGGGTGAAGAAGAAGGAGAGAAAGCATTTTTTTTTTTGCGGCCGTCTGATCTTGTGCCAAAGACACCTTTGTCCGAAGGTGTCCTTAAATGTTGCTGTTTAACGAGGCCGCTGCTGAGTGCTTTCTCAGATTCTGTGCTGTAAGTTGAGATTTAAAATTGAATTTAAAGATAAATTTGTAGAGTCCCGCACATCAATCTATTAATGGAAATGAGGTCTTTAGAAAGTTCCAAACTACCTGCCTGGAAAGGCCTGGGATTTGATTTTCCTGTTTATAAGTCAGGGTATTCCAGAAATGCATTCAAGTAATGACAGGTATTTTAATTAAAGACAGTCGTGCACGTGATTGGCTCCAA